AACAACAACATATTCAACTTTAGTTAAGTAATCCAGATTTTAAGATACAAGAATAAAAACTGGTTAATATCAATTTGATGTGAGGAGCTACCCATTAGCAACACCTGATTATTTGAATCTAAGTGTCAAACTCTCTGCAAACATACATAGTAATATAAAGGTCAGCAAATAGTTTTCTAAAAAGGATTAGAAAATAAATATTTAGGCTTTGCAAGTCAGATGGGCTCTCTTGTACACCCACTACTTTGCTGCTGCTGCTGGTGTGCCGTGGAGTGGATTCCCACTCATAGCGACCCTGCACAGGGTTTCTGAGGCTGTAAATCTTTACGGGAGCAGAAAGCCTCATCTTTCTCCTGGAGAACTGCTGGTAGTTTTGAACTGCTAACCATAAGGTTAGCAGCCAGATTCGTAACCACTACGCTACCAGAGCTACTTCCTAATAGAGAGTAAATGCAAACCTGAGTAATACATTAACAAATGAATATGTCTGTGTTTCAATAAATTTTTATTTATGAAAACATCCAGTGGGCCAGATTTGCCGGCAGGTCATAGTTTGCTAACCTCTGATGTAGATTATCTGGGAGAGCTTTTCAATTCTTTAAGTTAGGGTTGTTGTTGTTGTTAAGTGCAATTGAGTCAGTTCTGACCCATAGCGATCCTTTATAGGGTTTCCAAGGAGCAACTGGTGAGCTTGAACTGCCAACCTCACAGTTCAAATGGCTTTGCAGTCTGGTGCATTAACCCACAGTGTCATACCAGGACCCAAGGCATATTCTGAGAGAAAGATTGTTACCTAACTATTAAAGATAACTCAATGTCTGAGAGTTTCAGACTGGAATATTTGACAGATCTAGGGTTAATGTTCAAATAATCTGTTTGAGGTCCCCCTGAACACTCCATTAATGCCATCCAGACTTCAGAGGCACATACCACTCTAGGTCAAGTGTTGACATTGAAGTAAATTTTGGCAGTGGTGGCCTGTCACAACCACCGGGGTAGATGGAATTACTCTCTACTGGAGCTCTGTATTCGGTTAATTGGATTACTCTTCAGATAATGTCTGATAACATCAACTTAATAAGGGCATTCTCTTTAGCCAGCAAAGGACATACTTTCCTGAAAGGAAGTAATGGAATGACTTGTCAAAATATCAGGGTTTGAGCTGTAAGAAGCTCAGCCCAAAGGGACGAAAGGCAAAAGCTCAAAGAGGTCACATTAGATACAAATACGAAGTTCCGATATCCTGTTCCTTGAGTTCATAGGCAAGAATGTGAATAAATATGCACTCTGGGTCAAACAAGGACGTAAGCTTTTGCTCTATGCTTTTAGCACTAGCTGCCAAAACAGACTCCATTTCATACTAGGAGACAAAAAAGAGTTATGACTTCCTGAGAGCACTGTATAGTAGAAAGATATTCACCCTGGAAGCAGCCTGAGTTTTCATTCTGGCTCCATATGTAGTCTCCAAGCCTGACCTTTTCTTTCAAGTCACAGATATAATGTATACCATGGAAGATTGGTATGGAATTAAATGTGATACCAAATGTAAAGGTTTTGGCAAACAGTGGGTACTAAAACTGTTAACTGCACTTATGGTATGCTCCTAAAATATCAGAACCACTGTAGTATGTTATCCAGTTTATGCTACAGAGAAAACCATGGTTTGTCCATGTCTATTGCATGTCTGAAAATTGAGCTGCAAGGGAGAGTTCAGTTCTAGAAGTGAAGGGTAACCAGTGGGGGGCTTCTTCTATTACTGCATATAAGAATTATCCCATAGCTCCTTTGCATGAGAAAAATGAAATGTTTCCAGAATACCAAGGCATTTCTCAAAATCCACAGATTATCTAATAATCATGAAATGTTCTTTTCCATGACACTTGGTGTGTTTTCACTTCTACCTAGTGTTTGGTCAGTGAGAAGGCCAAGTTCTCCACCACAGACTTCTGCTGGGTGGTCTAACAAGATTATGAGTGCCAAATTTGGGGAGAAAGGAGCAGATCCAAGGAAAGGAATATTCACATCCAGAGCATACAATAGGGCTCCTTTGGGAACAATCAGCATTCCAGTGTAAATACAGAGCTCTTATATCTTGGTCTGTAGTTCATAGGCCTAAATTAAAATTTGGACATGATGATTGCAGTTTTTGGAGGCTATTTTATGTTCTTTCATATGAGTAATGATGCATAAGACAACATTTACATCCTAACTGCACCACATTTTGTTCTAGACTGAAAGTAGCTTGGGCTGTCTCCTAGAGTGCTCTGATCTGCATTGAGATTCTCATGCCTTTATCCAAGTGAGCCTTTCAGACTGCAATTAAGCTCATGCCACAATCATACTTTAAAAAAAAAAAAAACAACCAACTTTTTATTGGGAATTGAAAAAATATTTACAGAGCAGATAATCAGTTTTATAATCAATTAGTCATACACTTCATTTCATCTCAATGACTGAAATACCGTCAGTGTAACGTCACTTAGATGCCATTGCCTCCCTGGGTTGCATAATTCCATTTCTCTTTAAATCCCGTCCCTTCTGAGTTCTGTGCTGGGGCAGCTGTTCTTTTGATGTGGAATGGTTGACCATTCTGTGGTGTACGGTGTGTGCCTCACTAGTGTTATTGCCTCCCCCACCCCCATATATCTATCTATTGTGTGGCTGAAAATTGAGCTGCAAGAGTGAGTTCAGTTCTAGAAGTAAAGGGTAACCAAAGGCCAGTATCGAGGTTCCACCAGTCTCTATTATCACGAGTAAGCGTGATCCTTTTTACACAATTATGCATTTTTGTTGCTATAGATCTGATAAGGAACCAAGTTCTTTTTTTTTTTCCCCTGTGATCATTTTTTTAAAATGGAGAGAATTAAGAGTGATCAACACTATTCTTTCTATTAAGAGCATTTAAAGTTGGTCAGAGCATGATTTGTTTAGTCTGAGTAGGACAGTTACATAAAGAAGTTAGTCATGCTACCAGTTGCCATGAACTTAAGGTCTTTGGAAGAATATCAAAATTAAGAATACTGAGCCCTCCTCCCAGAACCATTATCACTTCTAACACTGTTCTTATGCAATCTGATTCCAATCCAGTCAGAAAGTTTTCAGCCAACATCATCCTGGTCAATGTACACTAAATATGCAAGATTTAATGACTAAATGCTGGCAAAGACATTGGGCTTCATACAACCACAAAATTGCTCATGATTGACTGTTTATAAATGTTTACTGTCCCTTTAAAATGTTGCGTTCATATTAGACTAACAGTTAATTTGATGTCGTTTCAAAAGTCAAACAGCAAAGTGGTTAAGGCTTAATTAAACTACCTTACCTTACTTTCCTACTTTGAACTAAGTTATTTAGTCAATTAAAATTACAGAGAAGTGAATGCTGATTGGAAAAGGAGTTTCCCCTCAGTCATTGCCTGATTTTGGAAGGGTCAATGCTTCTTGAAGTGTAATCACCAAACAGGGAATGTGTCATATATGCAAATTATTGCATCCTTTCACCCAGACCAACTGAGTCAGAACTTTTAAATGATACCAGCAATTTTTATCCTGGAACTTTTATATGATACCAGCAATTTTTATCCTGCCTTTTATTTCAGCATGCAGTTCTCTGTATTTAATACAGTATGTAACAGGAGAATTGTTGAACGGGAGCTTGTTAAAACAGCTTACTGGACACCACCCTCAGAGTTTCTGGCTCAGTTGGTCTGGGTGAAAGGAGGCAATAATTTGCATATATGACACATTCCCTGTTTGGTGATTACACTTCAAGAAGCATTGACCCTTCCAAAATCAGGCAATGACTGAGGGGAAACTCCTTTTTCAATCAGCATTCACTTCTCTGTAATTTTAATTGACTAAACTTAGTAAAATCAGTACCTCTGCTTCCAGTAATCAAGGTTATTTTATTGGTAGCTGCCATCAACAATAGGGCAAGACTCTAATATCAACATAACCCAAATAGAATAATCTGCAGCAGGAGGTTTCAATGTGCCTTTGCAAAGAGAGTTGGCTAAATAGTGTTATTGCTGCTAATTATTATTATCATTATTATTTTTGCTTCTAGGAGATTCAGTTGCAATCTGGACTAAAAGCCAATACAGATGTCCAGGGTGGTCTAGCTATTGACATCTCAGGTTCAATGGAGTTTAGTCTGTGGTACCGTGAGTCCAAAACCCGCGTGAAAAACCGGTAGGCATTATAGGTTTATTACTCTGCAAATTTTTTAATCTTCTGACTTTTCAAAATCTTTGCTTTTTATTTGTAAGTAATAAATCATACAGTTGGAAGTGACTATGTAAGTCTTTCTGTCCATAGCTTCCTAATAGACTTCAGAAAGCTGAGAATCTTGCTCTTACAGATAGCCACATATTGCATACTCTGTGAGTGAGGTGTTCCCCTTCTCTTGAAATAGATTCTACTTTAGCACTTGACAATCCTGTCAGTGGATTTTAGATTAAAACCAACTTTTTGTTATCTCTCTTTTTGGGTTTTAAAACCTTTTATCTTTTGCTGTCTTCAGTGAAGAGAAGAAGAAGAAGAAAAGATTTATGCAAGATCTAGCATTAAAAAATTAGAAGTCTTTACTTTTTCATCAGTATTTCTTTTTCCAAACAAACTCTTTTCAGGTCCTTTAGTTTCTCCTAATCTACTCTGTGGAAATCAAAAGTATTTTATTTTGAACATAAGATAATGTCTTAGTCAGTGCAACAATCAAAATAATTTTCTCTTGTTTGTTATAGAGTTTTACAAAAATGAAATGGAAATGCAATTCATTTTTATCTTTCGGAATATTTAAAAATATGCTGTTGAGTTGGTTCTGACTCATAGCAACCCTGTATAGGGTTTCCAAGGCTATAAATCTTTATAGGAGCAGAAAGTCTCATCTTTCCCCAAAGGAGCAGCTGGTAGATTCGAACTGCTAACCTTGTTGTTAACCAGCTCACTGTGCCACTGAGGCCTCTTATTTAAAAGTTGGTGGTTGTTTGCCACTGAATCAGTTTTGACTATAGTGACTTTATATAGGGTTTCTGAGGCTGTAATTCTTTACAGGAGCAGAAAGCCTTATCTTTCTCTCATGGAGTGACTGGTAAATTCAAACTGCTGACCTTGAAGTTGGCAGTCCAGCTGGTAATCCACTACATCTCTATTGGGGTTGAAATGAGATGTGGAAAAATTAAAATTTTTATTTATTTTGAACTGTGAAACACAAGAATTGAAAACAACCAAAAAGATGGCACTTGTAATATGAAGGGTTACCCACAGCATTACTAGAAGGAGAAATAGAATTCACCCTCAGAGGGTTCAGCAGAATGATGGGGCTTCAAAAAGTGCGTGGAAAATTCTATTATGTTTTATTTTTTCCATGAACTTTTTGAAGTCCCCTCATATAATTTAGGGCTTTCTATTGAATCAGGTTTGATCTGCAAGTGTGGCAATTCAAGTTCACCAGCCACTCTTTAGAAACCTGACATAGGGTCACTATGGGGTCAGAACTGTCTCTATGACACTTAACAATAAACGAATGAGTCATCTTTCTCTTCTCTTCAGAAGTTTCAACAAATTAAACTGAAATTCTTTGCAGGGAGAATTAACAACAGCAACAACAAAAGTCTGAATTTTTGAAAAGGACACACTATTTTAAAGAGTGTATCAGTAGCCACATTTAAGCCAAATCTTCTATTTCTCATATACTCATTCATCTAAAAAGTATGTCTTAAGCCTTTTCTGAGTATAAGACATTATTGCTGTTAACTGCTGTCTAGGTGATTTCGATTCATAGAAACCCTGAGTAGGTTTTCCAAGAAACAGCTTGTGGGTTTGAACTGCCCACCTTGCGGTTCAAACTGATCTTGCGGTGCAGTGCAATATGGCACTGTAGGACAATGCACTGTGTTGCAAGTTCAATTTGAGCCACAAAGTCGGCAGTTCAAACACACCAGACGCTTTTCGGAATGAGTCAGAACTGACTGGATGGCACTTAACAACAACAATGTAAGAGATTCAAGGATTGAAAAGATACCACCTCTGACCTCTAACCTATTTGTACACTGATAAGGAGTTTTAAGTTGCATAGCAAAAATTAGTCATAAACTTCTGGTGTAAATGTGGGAGCAATTGCGAATGGTTTTATTTAAAGTCTGTGATGTGGACTGGTAGCGTAGTGGTTACGAATCAGGCTGTGAACTGCAAGGTCAGCAGTTCGAAACTACCAGTGGTTCCACAGGAGAAAGATGAGGCGTTCTGCTCCCGTAAAGATTTACAGCCTGGGAAACCCTGTACAGGGTTACTATGAGTTGGAACTGACTCCACAGTACTTAACAACAACAACAAATGTGGACTGCAAACCACAAAGTCAGCAGTTCAAACCCACCAACTAACTGTTCCTGGAAACCCTAACTTTTGTGCTTCTGTTTTGCCTCAATCTCTAGGGTAGCCGTGGTAGTAACTGGTGATATTACAGTGGACTCCTCTTTTGTGAAAGCTGGCCTGGAAATCGGTGCTGAAACAGAAGCAGGGCTGGAGTTTATCTCCACAGTGCAGTTTTCTCAGTACCCATTCTTAGTTTGTCTGCAAATGGACAAGTACGAAGCTCCATTCAGGTAAGAAATGCTCATATGTATATATATTATGTTCCACCGGGAACATGCATTTAGTTATAAACAGTCAAGTTTCATATTAAAAGAAAATGGTAGTAGCCCAGTGAAATTAAGAAAAAGGAGAGAGAGAGAGAATAATTGATAAGGCTAGAAAAGTCCGGTTTTATGATACAGAGAAACTCTAATGACTTATTCCTTATTCTGGAGTGATATCCTTTCTGAGTCCTGGTGTGGCATTGAAGATTAATGCATTGGACTACAAAGGTGCTTTGCAAAGAGTGATTTGTGAGTTTTAACTGGCAACTTTGTGGTTCAAATCGTCCTTGCTGTCCAGTGCTTATCGTACAGTGCCACACCAGGATTCCTCAGTAAAAATATCAATGCACATTTACTGTATGGTATCTTAACAATTGTTTTCTAGACAGAAATTTCTAAACAAAACACACACCTGGCAATCCATTGACTATGGTTTAAGGGCCCGGATGAATTTGTTATTCCCAGGTGTTCTATAAACCTGTAACTTGACCTTGTTTAAACTTTGGTTCAACATTGAGAGTTTGAAATTTTTAATAATATATATTTTTAAAAGGCTTATAATATAATTCTTAACCTTTTAAAAACAATATATAATTGTCCATGTAACTTTTCCTACATGTCTTCCACCCTTGAGCCTAACTCTCACTTAGTGTCATTTGAGTCTTGTAATTATGATTTACAACAGTATAACCATGTGGAACTAGACCCACTAATAGAATGCCCTGGTTCTAGGGAGCATTGACATGTCTTTCAATAGTAGATGTAGAGGTCCCCTTGACACACACTAACCAAGAAGGCAAGTTTAAGACTTAAAACTACAAGCCACTCTATTGTTGTAGCCTTTGCTTTGACAAATAGGCCAGAGTTGAGGACTTTATTTATTTTTCTGACATTTCATAATCCATATAAAGAATACCATACTCGCACACACATTGAATATAAGTATGTTATATTTTTATAGCATAAAAGACCATAGACTGTAGTTAGCATATGACATTGTCACCAACTTATACTAATTATGTTGAGAAATAATTACAATATATATATTAAAACAAAACAAAAAAAAACTTCCAGTGTTCAAAATGCAGTAAGCATCAACCCAGCCCCATTGCTACCTGGCTTGGTTCCACATTTTACTTGGGCCAGAATTCTGGAAATGTGTCCCTGTCAGCAGACCAGTTGGGCTTGGTATTTACTCACATGGGGAGTGTTCCCAAGGTGGGGCTCTGGGAATGAAGGGTGGGAGACATAGCATGCCCTGTAAAGCTCAATAGCATCTCCAAAGAGCTGAAAGGAATTCATCACCAATGAAAGAAAATGGTATGGCAGGACTTTGATATTCTGGACATTTGAAGTATATCTTTAACATAAAAAGAAATGGGAAAAAGAAAATCACTTTATTCGTGAGAATGGAAGATAATCTTTAGTACTTATATTTTATCTGAAACTGTCTGAAAAAGAAGCTTCCATGTACACTCAACTTGAATCAGACAGGTATAGGGTGACTTTAAAGTGTGTGTAATTTTTTGCTGTTGTTATCATTACACAGGCAATTCGAGACAAAGTATGAAAGGCTGTCCACAGGCAAAGGTTATGTGTCTCGGAGAAGAAAAGAAAGGCTAGTAGCAGGATCCGAATTCCCACTCCATCAGGAGAACTCTGAGATGTGTAAGGTGGTGTTTGCCCCTGAACCAGCGAGTAATTCCAACAGTTGGTTTTGAACCTGACCAGTGATCTTTCACCTGAATCTGTCTCCCTTGGAAGGCTTACCATGTGACACATTGAAGTACTTGATCTCTGAGAGCACAGTGTTTACATATTTACCTGTATTTAAGATTTTTGTAAAAGCTATGAAAAACCTCAAATGATCAAATTTGGATCTATTTAGTATACTACCTATAGTGTCATTTTGAGCCAACACACACAACATTTTAGTTTTCTTGTATCGCTCTCAAATTCCATTTAGTACAGAGCGACTACTTTTGCTCTAAGAACAAAATATTGTTTGTAAAAATAAAACAACACTCAAGAGAATCAAATTTTGTTTCAACAATTTTCAAACAATGTATATGAGGACCTTTTTTGATATAACATTTAACATGACTTGCTTCTACCAAATATGTTGTCTCCTCAGGTAAAAACAGGCTATATTTTCTTCTTTTTTTGTGGGGGATGGGAGGGGGTGAATGAAACTTTTTAGAGACTTTTGTCAGTCAGCTTCAAGAATTCATATGTATATCTGTTATTGTTAACTTCGTTAAGCATTAAGGTAGAAGGCAATCAGCATTACATACAATCTCATTGTTTTCTGGGCTGTGTAGTCACCTTTCCAGAAGAAAGCCATTCCATTCTCTTTCTTCAACCCTACAAAAATACTGGACAAAACACAAAGGTGTTAGAAAAGTTAATTTCAGAAACTTCATTTTCTTTCTCTTGTTCCGTGTCTCTTTGAGACTGTGATGTGGCACACTGTCTTTTATAAAGTACATACCCATATAGTGATCATTTTATCTCTGCCTCATTTGTTTTGTGGTGAATGCGCTACAAATTTGCAGATTGTTAACCACAATCTGTAAAATAGCCAGAATCACTGAGATAATTTAACACTGCTTCAGGAAACTAATGAAGTTGGATTTCTGAAAAAGAATAATCAGATAAAGAACATCTTTAGAAATTTTGCAAATTAAAGGAGCCATGCCAAACAGTGTCAAATATTTGCTATTAAACAGTCCCATGTGTTCAAAGTGATGGGTGTTCTTTTGTTCATATACATATAAAATACAAAATTTAGATAGAATACCATTGTTTGTAAATTGATAATGAAATGCGATAAAATAAATATGTGGAAATCCTATTGAATTCATTTTTTCTTTCATTAATTTGTGTAACATAATATTTCTCCTCTCCTGCCACTTTCTGAGCCCAGACACATAAAAGCCTCTGTAGAATGGGCTAGATTCCCTGGATGAGAGGTCAGATCCAAGAACCTTTCAGAAAATGAATTATTGGAAATAGCAGCATGTAGAACTTCTAAGGATCTGTGGGCTTAAAAATAAGCTATAGCTCAATTTCATTAAGCTGTGGACCAGCACACTTACTGTTAAGTGACTGAAAAAAAGAGGAAGAACCCCAAAACCAGAGCATCCAGGAGAATCACATGTGGTGGTAGGATCTGCCTAACCATTTGGAGAATATTATTAGTTGGCATCAAGTTGGCTTTGACTCTCAGCTATCTCATGTGCAGAATAGACTGTTACATAGAGTTTTCAAGGTTGGGACTTTTTAGGAAGCAGATTGCCAGGCTTTGTCTCCCAATATGTCTATGGGTGGGTTCGAATCACTAGCCTTTTGGCTAGTTGTTTTTGTTGCTGTTGTTAGGAACCGTTGAGTCATTTCAGACTCATAGTAACTTTATGTACAATAGAACGAAACACTGCCAGGTCCTACACCATTCTCACAATTGTTATTAAACTTGAGCCTACTGCTTCTGCCACTGTGCCAGTCCATCTCATTGGAAGTCTTCCTTTTTTTCGCTGACCCTCCATTTTACCTAGCATGATGTCCTTCACTAAAGACTGGTCCCTCCTAATGATACGCACAAAGTATGAGAAATGAAATGTTGCCATCTTGGCTTCTAAGGAGGTTTTTTGCTGTACTTCTTCCAACAGGTGAAAAAACAACAACAAAAAAAAACCCAAAAACTTTTATTGTGAATTGAGTGAAGGTTTACACAGAATAGAGCATCCATTTTACATTCAGCAAATCATATACTTTGCTTCATTAGATGGTTGTGATCTCCTCCATGTACCAATAGTTAGCAGCAGTTACATCTATTCACTTTAAACAGCATTTCAGTTCAGAGCAAATTTAAAGGCATCTCCCCTAACTATACATTCGAATAAGGTATAAAAGATTTCCTAAGAGAAAATCATCTATTCTACCATTGTGAAATATGGCAGAAGTAAAATCCAGTTGCAAGGTATTGAAATATCAAGAGTCTCGATCAGCCTTGAATTTTTTGTGGACCATAAATATGGGACATTTAAATGAGGACATCTAATAGTGTAGTGTGACTATTAGACAGCACACCACCACCACCTCTAAGATGGTGACTAGAGTCCAATTCTCCTATGTTTAAGTGAAAGGAAAAATCAGATACCAATCTGTCTCACTATTCTAACACATAAATGATCTTGGCTGGATTTTTATGAAATCAAATTTTAAAAAGTGTGTGTGGGGGGGGGGAAGGAGGGGGAGATTGTTTCTACTATGTTTATTGTCTACAAATACAATGTAAGTTTAAGTTACCAGACATCTTATTAGGGACTATCAAAGCAAAAAAACAAAAACCTTCACCCCAAGCCAAACCTGATGTGATTATTTTCAGTCAGTGCTTGTTGTGTTACCCTCTTGCAAAATAACAGGCAAAACTATAGTAGTTGTTTTTTACTTTTTCATCCACATATATTACACTGAAAATGGTTGACATCTCATATGAGCAGTGTAAAGGATATTGTCTGCAAAATACATGGCACAGTGCTGGCAGTGGTGCAGAAGTTGGGGATCCTGGGATGGCAAGGTGGGCACTAGAGTGCTGGACTGGCTGTTTCCTAGCCTAGGAGTACTCCTGTAGGCATTTGGTTCACTGCTCCGCTCTGCCACTCAACTGTAGTCTCTTTGACTGCATATGGTCCAGGGTCAGGTCTGGTGGGAAAGGAGCTCTAATACATGCTGACTCTTGGGTAGAGGACAGCTGAATCAGGAAAGGTTTTTCATTGGGGCAGGGAACTACATTAGGGGATAAGGGGTTTTGGTTTTCAGGAGGCCAACTGGGAAATTGTTGCACTAGCGTCATGAGCTGAATTAAAAAATTAAAGGGTTGTTAAACAATGAATCCCTCTGGGGTGTCTCTTGACAGGCTGCTAGTGGCTGTGTTTTTTTTTAACATACTTTAATAGGCATCAGTCTGAATGTTTGGAATTTCACTGGTGAAATTATTAAGGTAGTCTGGTTTCTGAACCACCATGGAGGGTGAATTTAAGTATGTGGCCCTGTGGGTTAATGCACTGGATTGTGAAGCCGGTATGAACTGCAAGGTTGGCGATTCAAACTCACAAGTCGCTTCTTGGAAACCCTATACAAGGTCTCTATGGGTCGAAATCCACTTGATGGCACTTAACAACAACAAGTGCTTTCTGAACTTCTGGTGTGGCACTGCGAGTTAATGCTCTGGACTGCATTTGAACTGCAAGGTTGGCAGTTCAAGCTCACCAGTCACTCCTTGGAAACTCTATACAAGGTCGCAACCAGTTAGACGGTACTTAACAACAACACAACAGCAGCAATAAAGTGTTTTTCTGCTATACCACACATTACTCGTTTTCTTCTGTAACCCCTCAAACACACACGCACACATTATCTTGGTGTTCAAGGAAGACCTAGTACTTGTAAATGGTACCATATTATGCTTGTGCCTTCAATGATATGACAGGTTGCTCCGGGCACTGTGAGGATTCTCATGTGCTCAAAAAGCCAAGCCAGGACGTTGTTTCGCTGTGGCCTACCTTCATCTTTTCTCTGATAACTTCCCTCTTGTTGTATATTGTCCGTCCTGTCACCCATGTTACATGTGTTTACCCTCTAGTCTGTGGATAATTTTCCCTCCTTATCCTCCTCTCGTAACGATCATAGATTGTTTCTTTTAATCAAGAAAAAACCTTTATTTTAATTTTGTGCAACACAGGTCTCATACAATTTTTGTCCTTGTGTGATTGACTAATTTCACTCAGCATAATGTCCTCCAGGTTCAAGCATGTTATGAGGTATTTCACAGAATCATCATTATTTTTCAACGTTTTGTGGTATTCCATTGTGTGTATCAAAGTTGGTTTAAATATTCTTCTGTTGATGGGCATTTAGGCTGTCTCCATCTTTTTGATGTCTCTTGCAAACAGCATATTGAAGGATCCTGTCTTCCTATCCATTCTGCTCTTTATGTCTCTTGACTAGAGCTTAGTCTTATTGGTTTCCTTTTGTAGGTCACTTTTCTTTTTTCCCAAGCTGTTCTCAGGATTCTTTCATTGTCTTTAATTTTGGAAAGTTTGATTATGAGATGTCTTGGTGATTTTCTTTTGGGATATATTCTGTTTCACATTCATTTAGTTTCTTGTATGCTTATCTTCTTGTCTTTCATGAGATTAAGGGAGTGTTTTTCCAGCAACTCTCCAACAATTTTCTCAGTGCTTGTCTTTTTCTGTTCTGGAATTCTGAGCATCCATAAGTTGTTTCTCTTTATGGTATCCCAGATAACTCTTAGACTGTCTTCGGATTTTTTCATTCTTTTTTTCTGATTGTTTTTCTAGCCTGCTAGTATTGAGAGATTTATCTCCAAGCTCACTAATTTCACTTCCATTGCATCACATCTTCTCCTTTGCTCTACCAATGTGTTGTCCATTTCTGAGATCTTAGAATTCTTCTGGATTTCTAATTAAAGGTTTTGTATTGTTTCAAAATTTGCATTAATTTTGTCTGCTTGTTCTTGTAGTGTTTTCCTGAATTATTCTAAAGTTTTGTGTTCTCCTTGCTTTACTCAATCTTTTTATCAATCTTTGAATGAACCAAATTAGCATTTTTTGGGGATTCTTTTTCAGTTCTGCTATCTTTTCTTCCTCAGAAACATTTTCTGCCTCTGCGTTGTGGTCATTTCTTTGAGGCATTCTCT